CAGTAGTCCGGGGCGCTGTCCCGGTAGCCACTGTGCCAGCAGCTCCTGTTGCCCGTGTGTCTGCAGCTTCAGCCGTCGTCTCCCATCTTCTCTCCTCTCACAGTCCCTCCTCCTCCTCACTTGCCCGCTGTGACTGCCACTAGCTCTGCTTATAATTGTGAACTACTGCTATGCTTGCTCATTGTGCTGATTACACCCCACTTTGGCTATGGGGGTGTGTCAGAATGTTATTATTGTCTAGCCTGCAGTGGGGTACTCTGTAGTGAGTATGACCCCTTAGGGTTTCCTATATGTATCCACCTGCTTGCTAGTGAAACCCCTCCTTTCTTCGTTCCTGTTTCGTACTTTCTAACACCAGTGCCCTAGATATCAGACTTTTTACGCTGATTCAGTGTCCATTCAGACTTTTTTTTGGTGCCAGGTCTGAACTGTAAGTTTTTTTTTTTATGTACCTTCTCTGATTTTCCAGAGTTTTTTTTATTGTGGTGGCTGTATTTTCAGACAGATTGTAGGGGTGTAGGCTGAGCCTCAGCCTTGTTTCGGGGGTGCACTCTGAAACGGGTACTGCAGGGGTCCGCCAGCCTGGCAGCGTGTTTGCACTAACACCGTCAATCACAGGCGGGAAACGAAACATTTCTCGAGCGCGGCACCGCACAGTCGCGTTGGGCCAGGAATGCTGTAATCCGGCTCAATTCCAGCCAATCGCGGCAGCACAGCAGGCAGTGTTGGCAAGATTCCTTGCCAACGCATAGCTCGCAGCGCGCTGCACTCGGACAACACTACAACCATCCACTCCCCTCCAACGCTGGACGTGCCGGGGGTTGTAGAGATCTGGCGCAGCTATAGGAAGCGCCGGCCAGTGACGGCACCTGCTGCAAGACACAGGGAGCCCCAGAGAGCTGGGAAGGAGGCTGCAGAGGAGCTAGTACGGTAGTTCATCCGACAGCTGTAGAGTCACATGTGATAGAATCTGACTCAGATAGTTGAAATGTTTTCAAGCGCAGTATAAAAAAACCGGCAGCCTTCAAACTTAGTGGAACTCTGAACTTTCAGCAAAAAAAAACTAGTGTTGTCTGAACTTTCAGACTCAAAATCGCCTGCAACTCTGACTGACAGAGTTTAGATGAGGGTGCACTCTGACCCATCAGCCTGTCCTAAAACGAATCTAGGGGCCTGATTCCAGCTCTCGATTGCCATGCATCTCTATGTGTGTAAGGTAGCCTTAGAATGACCCCCTCACTGCGCTTGTTAGTCGGTCGAGTAATTATGCACAGGAAACCAGAAATTTAGGTCATTTAGAAAGCTAAACGTAGTCGGATTGAAGTCAACTGGTTAGTTAGGTATATGGTTTATATTTTCTTTCAGTCCCCTTAACTGTCCCACCCAGGGAAAAGGAGCTTCTAACGGAACATCTACCTTGGAGAACCGACAATCATATCCACCCTGCAGACAACAGGTTCCCCTCCCCGATCAAACACCCGGCGAACTCGTAAAGTCCCTTGAGAACGCAATCATTACAGGTATTTGCGAAGGATACTAGGAACCTTTGCGGAATGCGTTGTAGCATTTACGGTTATTGTGCTACAAGCTAAAAAGCTGTTATAAAACGGAATGTGCTTGGGGTGATCTTTGACAAATGGGAGGTGAATTCCAGCCACCTCAAGGACACACGCTACGCCAGGTCTGACAAATTGAGCAGCTGTGCAAACAAGACATGCGCGGTTCGTGCCCCCTTCGATGAAGATCCTGTGTGAGCATGCCTCTCTCAGTCAGGGGAGGGACCATCAAAGTCCAGATGAGACCCGACTGCCAGACTTGCCAGGGATGTTGTCCGAAATGCGAGCTACATGCAGTGCAATTTTGTTTGTCTGTTTACTGTAAAAAACTTTGTTTGTTTACTGTAAAATAAAGCATGCCAGCAATAGCAGATCCGCACAAATTTGTGGACACAGTCACGATCACCTTGGTTTGAATGGAGCGGGGTGGAGGAACATAGTTTCAAGGTGTCAATCGCGAATACGCTGTGAAGTACACGTCCACAACGATACCCAGTGGTTCAAAACTTGCCCGCACACAAGGGCTGACTGAGGGGGCGGGCAACGGCCCATCGTTACTGTACAAACCTAAAACAGCAACACTGTTAACTTGACCGCGAATATGTTGGGAAATTATACCAAGAGTCACAGTTTTTCCCGTTTTATCATGTTTGGTCACAGGGGTATCACGAACAGTCACAGTACAGTAGATTTTTATCGCGGGTGATCACAGTGCTATCACGGAAGGTCACACCTCGCCCCTAAAAGCTATCACGTTTGGTCACTCGATGAAACGATCATAATTAATTTGAAACCACCAAAGAAACTGTAGAGATTTTTGGGAATCTCAAAATTTATTTCTTGTTACCTCGCGCATTATTCTAGCCTGACATTTAGGGGACTGGAAATAAAAAATAAACCCCTATAGGATGGCACGTCCTTCGGGAGACATCAACCCTAAACACCATGCGACAAGGTGTTTAGGGTTGATGCATCCCGAATTAAATCCCCTCCGAATGGGATTTAGTTATTTTGGTCTTGGGAACAATATTTACCCTTCGAGTTTCACCCGTCTAAAAGTGATATTCTTAGGGACATTATGCATGAATCAAACAGTGGGCAATCAAATAGTAACAAGAAATTGCAGATGTTTTAACGGGGTACCGGAACTGTCGCGAAATGATTTCGTCATACTACGGACAAAACGCGCGGGCGAGAGAACGTTCCTTGAATCCCTACAGTGACTTGCGTAGTTTCAACTTTCGGTCAATCGTTTCAACGAGTGACCAAACGTGATAGCTTTTTGGGGCGAGGTATGACCATGCGTGATAGCGCTGTGATCACGCGCGATAGCAATGTACTGTACTGTACTGTGACCGTTCGTGATAACCTCGTGACCAACCGTGATAAAACGGGCCTAATTGTGACTGCGCGTATAATTTCCCCGAATATGTTACTCCAGTTTCCCATACAGCACAGTTTCCGAATATATATATACAGAACTGTAGTTGAGGTGGTAACTTTTGACAGTAGCATTTTCGAGTGAGGAGGAGCATCCGGCTGAAAAGTTTTGAGAAGTGAAAGAGGCATCAATCTGCAGTGTATTGGGATGCACACTGTACCCCACCACGTCGTCAGCGGATGTGATCGGAGCCGCCCTCGGAGTTTTGGTCATGGGATGTGATCGGAGCTGGAACACATGATTTTTCCGCCTTTCTTCCAGCATTCTGCGTGTACAGCACACACCAACGCGTACAGTTCAACGCGCAGCTCGTCGCTTCTGTCAACAGCTTGGCAAATTCTCTACACTGCATTGTTGTATGATGTACGTGTCATACAAATGGGTTCAACCAGCATACTAGGCATCGCCGCATCGGTCATCAGGTACAATACACCCTACTGCTCACTCAATCGCGTACTCTGAACGCCCAGCCGTCACTCGATAGAAGCAGTGGTCGACATTCACGGGCAACGGCTCAAACGTTATAAGACCAAAGACAAAACCATTATATTATTCGGAATAAGTCATTCTAGAATTTTAGACAAAACACCTCGGGCTACTCACAATTTTGGGACTTGTAGATGAGGTGGTAACCCCGGTACTACATTCAGTCCCATTTTGCCCTTGAATTTCACGAGCGCGAGAGAGGAGCCAGGATCAACATGGAGAAGCGGAGTGAAACGGGCATTAGCGTGTACATCTTGTTTCTCACCACAATGAACGACGCGTAACTGGCAGGCTAATGTTGTTCTCTTTTGACTGATTGAACCATACCGAACCATAGTCTAGCCACCCTAACGGTGGTCATCTACTCATCCCAAAATTGTCATCAGAAGGGGGGGCCAGAGTCCCACTTGGACTGCACACCCCGTAGGCACTTGGACTGCACACCCCGTAGGCACCAAGGCAATGCTGCTGGAGGCCAACTCAGCGTCCCAGAATACCAGCCCCACTTTCTGCCTTCCCCAGGAATGGGCCGCCCACAACCCCTCTGTCAGGAACAACTACCTGCAGAGAGGGAAACCAAACCATGCTCCTGTGTAACGCCACATCCTGCTCATGTCAGATATTTCACTCCCAACCATTTTTTTGCCGTTTCCAGCGCTAAATATCTCTAACATTAAGGAGCTCTTGCTGTTTACGGAGCTTAACAGTCTTCAGCTTTCCTCTCGCAAAATGTATAGCCCAACATCCATTCCCGCGACTCACGGTGGCGGAACTAGTAACGGGACGTTTTCCTCGCCGCATTCGCCAAGCACCTTTCTGGAAGAACCAGCAGCAGCGACTTTCAACGATGATTCTTGCTTTCCCATGGATATTGAGCAAAATGAAGTGACTTTTGACTCGGAGTCGAATCAAATGCCTTAAAAAAAAACACATGATATAGATCTCGTGAAACATGCATGGTCGTTAGATGACCTGGTGGCCTCTAGTTCGCCACAAAAACTTCTGAAAGATTCTCTCGCCGCCCCTAGCACCGGCGTCCGACTCGGAGTCGGAGCATCACACAGCACACCGAATCGAAAGCACACGCCGAATCGGCAAAAGGCAAAGCCATTGGAAGGTCCTGCAAACATTTGTGACTGGTATGTCCTAGTGATGATCATTGTAGGATGCTACTAAGTCCAGATTCGAGGCGGCAAAATCGGTTACTTCGAGTCGGAGTAGTACAAACTGTTTCAGTCTGACTTTCTCGAAGAGAATAAGGAGGCATGATTCTATGCTCTTCAGATAAAAACTTATAAATTGTTTTGGAGAATCTGAAGTTCAACTTCAGATTCAAGGGCTGATGTCTCCTTCCTCTCTGCAACTATGTCCTGCCTCGTCTGCTTCTTTCAGGCTCATTAAGAGGTGCCACAGAAATAAAGCACCAGTGGTACTAGCTCCATTGGAGGCGGCCTCTGCTGAAGTTGAGGCATCACACATCATCCCCGCGCCTTCTGCCCCATCCAGTCCGGCACTGCTTACCACCTGGAACGACAACACATTCCTGAGACAACATCGAGGGTCGCATCATCAGCATTGTTACCAGCAACAGCAGCAGCAGCAGCAGCAGCAGCAGCAGCAGCAGCAGCAGCAGCAGCAGCAGCAGCAGCAGCAGCAGCAGCAGCAGCAGAAGCAGCAGCAGCAGCAGCAGCAGCAGCAGCAGCAGCAGCGCCAGCAGCAGCAGCAGCAGCAGCCCCAGCAGCAGCAGCAGCAGCAGCAGCAGCAGCAGCAGCAGCAGCAGCAGCAGCAGCAGCAGCAGCAAGAACAGCGGCAGCAGCAGCAGCAGCAGCAGCAGCAACAGCCGCCGCCGCAGCAGCAGAAACAGCAGCAGCAGCAGCAGCATTTACACCAGCCACAGCAGCAGCAGCAGAAACAGCAGCAGCAGCAGCATCAACAACTGCAGCGGTGGCTGCTGCAGCAGCAACAGCTACTTCAGAAACATCAGGCGAAGGTTAACTCATACGCAACCCACATTTCAGCGGTCAACAAAGTCAGCAAGGTCAACGATGACAATGCGGTCAACGTAATCAACACAATCGGCGATGTTAATTCAATCAACAAAGTCCAAGTCAATGCGGTCAACAAAAGCAGTGCGGTCAACGAGGTCAGCGCAGTCAACAAAGCCAGCGCAGTCAACAAAGTCAGTGCGGTCGACAAAGTCAGTGCGGTCGACAAAGTCAGTGCGGTCGACAAAACCCGTGCGGTCAACAAAATCAGTGCAATCAACGAAGCCAGCACCGTCAGTGATGACGCAGCATCCTGGAACGAGCTGCAAGGCCTTGTGGAGAAAGCCATGCAGCACCCGTCACTGCAGCACCCGCCACCGCGGCACCCCTCAACGTCCGTGAGAGACGGTTTTGTAAGGAGCCCGTCCGCTCGCATCGTCCACTTGCCTGCGTCTCCTACTCAGAGTTCGATAACACCTCGCGCGCACACGATGCCACAACGCGCACTGGTCAGTAAGGGAGAAATTCCCAGCGCTGGAGCATCGGACGGTAGACAGCTCAAGATCCCTGCTACCGGAAGCCTGCCCTCTCAGTGCTTTTCACACGCGGAACTGCCAGGGGGGTCTCTCTTGAATTGCGGAGATGTGGCAGGGGGTGGTGCTAGTGGTGCTCGGAATGGTGCTGGTGATATTGGGAGTGGTGCTTGTGGTGCTGAGAGTGGGAACGGGAGTGGTGCTAGTGGTGCTGGGAGTGGGAACGAGACTGGTGTAGGGGCAGGTACAAACGGTGCTGGGAGTGGTGCTAGTGGTGCTGGGAGTGGTGCTAGTGGTGATGGGAGTGGTGCTAGTGGTGCTGGAAGTGGTTCTAGTGGTGTTGGGAGTGGTGCCAGAGGTGCTAGGAGTGGTAACGGGAGAGGTGCTGGAAGTGGTGCCGGGATTGGTGTAGGGAACAACGCTAGTGGTGCTGGGTGTGGTGCTAGGGGCAATGCTGGGAGTGGAGGTGCGGATGGGAGTCCAGACCACCGCGCTAATCCGCACACGGCTTCTGGCACAGAAAGGAATCGGGGGGCAAACACGTTGGGAGAGGAACGTGCACAGGAGAAGAGGCGCAAGCGACAGCTGTCCAACTGTGCGTCCTCACGCCGAGCGCGGCAGCGGCAGCACGACCGCCTGGCAGAGCTCGAGTTCGACGCTGCAAAGCTGAAGTTAGACAATGCGAGTGCGCAGCGGCGGTTGGCGGAAGCTAATGAGCAAATGTGGCAGTTCCAAGTGCGGAACGAGCGATCGGAGCAGGAAGTGAGGCGTCTACGGCTGGAGTTGAGAGAAATCAAGCTGTCGGGGAACTTCGATGAGGATGGGAATGTGGAGAAGGGTGAAGCATTCGTGCTGAGCGAGCAAGGTGCTGATCGGTGCCAAGGTGTTGGTAACGGTGGGGCTTCCTCAGACCCGATGCCATCTAAGACATTAGAGGAGTCTCGTTCTCCTAGAAGCACTTCTACTCCTCTACCTAGGAGTGTGTCCATCCAGCCTACACTCACTCCTGGCAACCCTGCTTCTGCTTCTACTGTAGTTGACAATGTAGACAAATCTTGCAGATAATACATGCATGTAGGGCGATGCAAAGGCAATCGGTGTGCTTTGATTCTTTAATTTCAGTTTTCTTGCAACTTGGTCCAAGAGCGGGTCTCAGATAGTTTGGTTTTCAGACATGTCTTTGTGCTCGTTATATCGAGGCTAATGCAATGCTTCTTCTGCCTGAACTTGAAGTCAATGTTTCAGCTTATTTGTCGGAAAATATAATAACCAGCAAGTTCCAGCATGATAAGGCAAGTATTTCAAACTGTCCCTTATGCAGCATGTCATGACGGGCTTGCTTCTTGCATAAAATCTCCAGGGTCATGCACTCCTTGAGGCAACATTCCTACGACCCCATGCCCCAATCCTAGCCATTAAAGCCCGAGTACTGCATGGTTGTATTCAAGTTCAAGATTCTTGAACTTGAAATCGTCAAAAACTGGGTTACCCTTGTCAAATGTTAATGTTATGATAGGCCACAGTGAGGCACTCCCTAGAGGGTACAACATTTGTAGGACTCCTATTTGTATGCTTGCAAACCCTAATCCCAATCATTCCGTTGCATGTAGATTCTGAGATGGTATCACGAGTAGGTATCGATCCTCCCTCCCCGCCCTAGCCGGCGCGCCCTCCGTTCCGCGCCCTCGCGCCCTCCGTAGCGCCTAGCGCCCTCCGCGCCCTCCGTCACGCCTCGCGCCCTCCGCGCCCTCCGCGCTCCTAGCGCCCTCGCGCCCCTTAGCGCGGCCCTCAGCCCGCCCCACGTCGTGCCCCTTAGTGCGCCCCTCGGCCCGCCCCTCCGTGCCCTCCCTCCGCACGTTCGTGCCCTCCGCGCCCTCCGCACGTTAGTACCCTCCGCGCCCTCCACGCCCTCACCGCGCGCCTAGCCCGGCCCCTCCCACTGTCGCGCCCTCCCCCTGCCCGTCGCGCCCTCCCCCCTGACCGTCGCGCCCTCCCCCTGCCCGTCGCGCCCTCCCCCTGCCCGTCGCGTCGCCTCCCTTCCCCCTGCCCGTCGCGTCGCCTCCCCTTCCCCTCCCCGTCGCGTCGCCTCCCCTCCTCCTGCCCGTCGCGTTCGCCTCCCCTCCTCCTGCCCGTCGCGTCGCCTCCCTTCCCCCTGCCCGTCGCGTCGCCTCCCCTCCTCCTGCCCGTCGCGTCGCCTCCCCTCCTCCTGCCCGTCGCGTTCGCCTCCCCTTCCCCTGCCCGTCGCGTCGCCTCCCTTCCCCCTGCCCGTCGCGTCGCCCTCCCCTCCCAATCCCGTCGCCCTCCCTTGCCCGTCGCATCAACCTCCCATCCCCGCCCATTTCCCACCGTCAGATCCTCCTCCCGCCCATTTTCACCGTCGCATTCGGCCTCCCCGCCCCTCTCTCACTGTTCATCACCTTAGCCCCACCACCGCCTTGTGCGCGGGGCCCTCCCTAGCTCTGCTGACACTGGTCTATCCCTCAGCGGCTGGCAGCCGCTCTCTCTCGCCGGTCACCTAGGTTAGAGCCGTTTTAGCCGCTCATACCTCGCTCCTCGCACCTGTAGCTGGCGATCCACGATTTCACGCCTAGTCTAGGTCGCTCGGTACTCCTAGTCTCTCGCTCCGCCGCTTTCTCTCCTGGCGCTCCGTAGTTTTCCTCCTCGTTCTTAGCTCCGCCTCCGCCGTGCTCCAGCCGCCTCTAGCATGGGCTCCGCTATGGAGGCCCGTCGCCTCCGTTTCGATGCGGAGGGACGCCCAATCGAGTTCGGTACCTGGCAGCGCCAGACCACACGCTTCCTCACCAGCCAGCGACAGGACGGCGCCACCCTGTGGGCTCACGCGTCTGGTGCCCTACAGGCCCCCCCGTCCCCCGCCGCCCTGCCGACCACCCCGGAGCCGACCCCTACGGCACAGGCGGACTACGACCGTCGGGTCCTGGCCAGGGACGTGTGGCTCTCGCGTGACGCAGCCGCCGCTCTCACTCTGTCGGAGCTTCTCCCCCCGACTGAGGCCGCCCACTTTGACCAGGTGGAGACTGCACCGGGGGTTTGGGAGGCTATTGTTGCTCGCTACTCCACCCCCTCCTCTGCCTCCCTCAGTCGCCTTCTCATGCCGTTTGTGTTTCCCGACCTAGGCTCGTTTGCGACTGTTTCCGACCTAGTGACTCACCTCCGCTCGCTTGACGCCGGTTTCCGCGCTGCCTGTACCGACGCACAGCTTCTAGTTGCTCCCCCCCCCATGTGGCTCACTGTTCACTGGTTAGTCACCCGCCTCCCTGACCGCCTTGCCACTGCCCGCGACGCGCTTCTTCAGAAGCACCCCATTGAGCTCACTATCGACCTCCTAGCGACTGCTCTAGGGACCATCGAGAGCAGTCTCCTCACCGTTGCCTCCGCCACTGATGCGGTGGCCCCCCGTCTCTTTGCGGGGTGTGCCGCCCCTCAGCTTCCCGCTACTTTCACCGCTACCCGCGCCTCTGCTGCTGTGTCGGTCTCTGAGGACACTGCTGCCGTTTCTGCCGCAGACTGGCAGAAACGGGGCAAGAGCGGCAAGAAGGGCGGGAAGGGGGGGGGGGGTGGGGGCGGAGGCGGCGGCGGTGGAGGGGGCGGTGGAGGAGGCGGTGGAGGTGGGAGCGGCGGGGGTGGAGGTGGCAGCGGCGGCGGTGGTGCACCGGGAGGAGGGGGCCCTGGAGCGGGCGCCGGACAGCCGGGCCCTCCCACTGGTGGAGGCCCACAGCAGCAGCAGCCACAGCGGTACCCACAGCAGCACCCGCCACAGCAGGGACAGCAGCAGCAGCAGGCACCCCAGCAGTGGGGGCCCCCGCTGCAGTGGGGTCCGCAGCAGCACTGGGGTCCCCTGCCGCAGTGGGGTCCGGGTGGCCCTGGGAGCACCAGCCGCAGCAGCAGTACTTCCAGCTGGGCCCCTCGCCCCCCTCGCCGTGACGCTGGCCCGTGCACCCACTGGTGCGTCACCGGGCCGGGGAGCCCCTGTCTCTGTGGTCGCGACGACCACTCTGCCGCGCGGTGCTTCCGCCGCCTCGACGACCTCTACCGGGCTCGTTGGGGCCCGCTGGCGGTCACGCCTCGCTGGTCTCGTCTGTTAGCCCGTAAGATTGATGTCTTTGATTTGTCCATGGACGATGCGCGTCAGCATGCTTTGTATGTTGATGCTGACTTTAGTGCTGATGGATCTGTGTGCTCGCGTGTTCGTAGGTTAGCCTGCTTGCCTCCTGCTAGTGTAGCCTTGTGCCTGTCTAGCTTAGGTGCTTGTGTTGCTTCTCTAGGTGCTTGTGTAGCGACTGGGTCAGGTGACCCGCCGGCTGAGGCCTCTCTGTCGTTCACGCTGGACTCGGGCGCGTCTCAGTGCTTCTTCCGCGACCACACGACCCTTACACCACTCCTCACACCTGTGTCGGTGGCTCTGGCTGATCCTACCTCTGGACCAGCCGTTGCGCGTAGCTCCACCACCCTCCCGTGCCCTGTGGTCCCCTCTGGTGTCCTGTGCGGCCTCCACATCCCCTCGTTCACTCGGAACTTGGTGGGTGTTGGATACCTCCAGGAGAGGGGGATCACGGTTACCTTCGTGGGGGGTGGGCGGACTGCAGTCTGTACAGACGCTACCACAGGTGCTGTTCTGGCCACGTTCACCAGGGAGCCCCGCTCCGGTCTCTACGTTCTCCACACCGAGCGCTCCCCGGTCGCGTCCTCCCCTCAGGTCGTTGCGTCCCCTCCAGCCCAGGTCCCCAGTCCAGTTGCTGTGTCTAGCCAGGTAGTAGTGTCCGGTCCGGTCGCTGTGCCCAGTCCAGTCGCGTCGTCTTGCTCCTGTCGCTCTCTCACCCACCGCACCGTCCTGTGGCACCACCGCCTTGGCCACCCGTCGCTCCCTCGCCTACGTGGCATGCTCAGTCAGGGACTTGTCTCAGGTCTCCCACGCACCTTCCCGTCGCTCCCTCCCTCGCTTGCCCCTCCTTGCTCTCCGTGCGTCGCCGGTCGCTTACGCGCCACTCCCCACTCCTCCTCCCTTCGTCCGGCCACCGCTCCCTTCGAGACTATCCCCTTGGACGTCTGGGGCCCTGCCCCGACGCAGGGGTCTGGGAGGGAGCGTTACTTCCAGGTGGTCGTTGACGACTTCTCCAGGTACACCACAGTGTTCCCTCTTACGAAGAAGTCCGAGGTGACTGCTACGCTGATCAGGTGGCTTCTAGCCACTGAGGGCACTCGTGGTCGTCGAGTCAGTTGTCTCCACTCCGACCGTGGGGGCGAGTTTCGCTCCGGCATTCTCGGCGGATTCTGCGGCGAACAGGGCATCACCCAGTCCTGGACGCTGCCAGAGTCCCCACAGCAGAATGGGGTTGCTGAGCGCCGCATAGGCTTGGTCATGGACATCGCCCGCACGTCCATGATCCATGCCCGTGCGCCCCATTTTCTGTGGCCCCACGCGGTTCGCTACGCCGCACACCAGCTGAACCTCCAGCCGCGTGTCTCGCGGCCCGAGGTTTCACCGACCAGTCTTTGGACTGGTTCCCCTGGTGTCGGGTCGGCCTTTCGAGTCTGGGGCTGCCTTGCACTTGTTCGCGACACCTCCGCGGACAAGCTCTCGGCACGCGGCGTCCCCTGTGTCTTCCTTGGTTTCCCAGTGGACTCTGCCGACTGGTCCTTTTACCACCCTCCCCTCCACCACTTCCTAGACTCCCGTGACGTCCGGTTTGACGAGTCCGTGTCCTACTACACCCGGTACCCCTGTCGAGGTCTCCCGGTACCCCCTCCCCCTCTTTTCCTCGCACCCTCTCCTCCTCCTGCTCCCGCTCCTCCGGTACCCCCGCCCCCCCCTGGTCCTGCCCCGTCTGGTGTGTCCCACGTTACCCCTCTACCCTCGGTCGCGCGTCAGGTAGCGTCTCCCTCCCCGCAGTCCTCCTCACAGTCCCCTCAGCAGCCTTCGGCACTTCCGCGACAGGTTACTGTGGACTCGGTTGGTGTTGGGGCTGGAGGTGCAGCCACTGGCGGTGCTAGGTATGGGGGTACTCGGTCGCGGGGTGCTGGAGCTGGAGGTGCTGGCGCAGGTGGCGCCAGCTCTGGGGGTGCTGGAGCTGGAGGTGCTGGCGCAGGTGGCGCTAGCTCTGGGGGTGCTGGAGCTGGAGGTGCTGGCACTGGTGGTGCTAGTTCTGGGGGTGCTGGAGTTGGAGGTCCTGGCACTGGAGGTGCTGGTACTGGGGGTGCTGGAGTTGGAGGTCCTGGCACTGGAGGTGCTGGTTCTGGGGGTGCTGAGTCTGAGGAGTCTGACCCTGGTTCTGCGGAGTCCACTCCGCCTCCCCACCGCCACGACACACGACTCCAGGCTGCCCGCCGGCGAGAGCGTGAGGAGCAGGAGCGGTTGGAGAGGGAGCGGCAGGAGCTGCGGGTGCTGGACCTTCTGGAGCAGCAGCGGCAGCAGCAGCAGCAGCAACAGCAGCAGCAGCAGCAGCAGCCGCAGCAGCAGCCGCCGCCGCAGCAGCAGCAGCCGCATCCGCCACCGCAGCTTCCTCTGGAGCGGCAGTTGTTCCCACCTGTGAGTGGCCTGCGGGCCCTTGGCTTTTCCTCCTCTCCTCCTGTCCGCTCCCAGTCTCCTCCTGTGTTTGTTCCTCCGTTGCCTCCTCCTGACGACCGTCCGGCGGTCTGGTCTTCTCCTCCTCCCCAGTCTCCTCCTCCTTCGGTCCGTCGCGACTTAGTCACTCGTTGTCCTCCGCGTGCTCGTCACTCGTCCCCTGTTACTGACCTCCACACTGCCCTCCTTTGTACGTCTCGTCGTCGTTCTCCTTCTCCTGTGTCCGTTCTCCCGTCTCCTCCTCCGTCCTCTCACCCAGCCCTCCCCACTCCTATCACTGACTACTACCGCACTGTTCGTCCTGTTGCCGCACGTGTCATCGCCACTCTTGTCACCGACTCTCGTTTCCCTCCGTCGTCGGTCTCTGCTCTCACTGCCGCTGTCGCTGAGTTTGCTGCCGCCAGCCGCCTTGACTACGCCACCCGTGTGGTGCCAGCTCCTCCCTACCGTCCTCTGTTCGTCGGGGGTGAGTTTGCCCTTGGCTGTGACGTCCTAGAGGACAGAGAGTCTGAGCTGGAGTACTGGGCAGCCGCTTCTCCCTCTGTGTGTGCCATGCTGCTCTCCCCTGAGGGAGACCCCGACGCCCTTGACATACCGACTCCTCGCACTTACCGCGAGGCAGTGTCAGGGGCGTGGGCCTTCCAGTGGAAAGCGGCTATGGACTCAGAGTTGGCGTCTTGGAGATCCACAGGCACCTACGTCGACGCAGTTCCCCCTCCCAGGGCGAACGTAGTCGATGGCATGTGGCTCTTCAAGGTGAAGCGGCCGCCTGGAGCACCGCCGGTGTTCAAGGCGCGCTACGTGGCTAGGGGCTTCAGTCAGCGTGAGGGAGTTGACTTCTTCCAGACCTTCGCCCCGACCCCGAAGATGACTACTCTTCGGGTGTTACTCCACATAGCAGCGCAGCGAGACTACGAGCTGCACTCCCTCGACTTCTCCACTGCGTTCCTCCAGGGCCGACTGCACGAGGAGATCTGGCTGCGCCGTCCTCCTGGCTTCACTGACACCTTCCCACCTGGGACCCAGTGGAGCCTGAGGCGACCAGTCTACGGTCTCCGCCAGTCGCCCCGTGAGTGGCACGACACTCTTCGCTCCACGCTTCGTGACCTTGGGTTCAGCCCGTCCTCCGCCGACCCGTCGCTGTTTGTTCGAGCGGGTTCTACTCCTTTCTTTATCCTTGTCTACGTCGACGACTTGGTGTTTGCTACAGCAGACAGGGCAGCCCTGGCTCAGGTGAAGTTCGAACTGCAGAAGAGACACAAATGCACTGACCTGGGTGAGCTGCAGCGTTACCTTGGCTTGCAGATTACCCGGGACAGAGCCGCTCGCACCATCACACTGACGCAGTCACACATGGTGCAGCAGGTCCTTCGGCGGTTCGACTTCCAGTTCTCCACCACACAGCCCACTCCTCTTGCTGTTGACCACAGACTCACTGGCCCCTTTCCCGACGAGCCTTTTGAGTCCAGTGGTCCCTACGCAGAGCTGGTGGGCTGCCTCATGTACTTGATGACTTGTACTCGGCCGGACCTCGCCTTTCCCCTCAGCGTCCTCTCTCGCTTTGTTGCGACTGGGAGACACCGTCCTGTCCACTGGACAGCTGCTGTGAGGGTGGCGAAGTACCTGGCGACTACATCAGGCATGGGGCTTGTGCTTGGAGGGACTCAGCCAGTGGCGTTGACTGGTCACTGCGACTCTTCCTACGCTGACGACGTGGAGACTCAGCGTTCGACTCAGGGTTACTGCTTCAGTCTGGGAGCTGGTGCTGTGTCGTGGAGGTCTACACGGTCGTCGTCTGTGGCTACTTCCAGTGCAGAGGCAGAGATCTACACTGGTGCCATGGCGGCACAGGAGCTTCGCTGGTTGACCTTCTTGCTCGCCGACCTTGGTGAGCGGCCTCGCTCTGCACCGACCTTGTACGCTGACAACAAGGCCATGATCCTCCTGTGTCGAGAGCCTCGACTGGAGAGCAGAGTGAAGCATATTGACGTGAGGTACTTCCTCCTGCGAGAGCTGCAGCGACGCGGCCAGGCACGCCTGGACTTTGTGGCCTTAGAGGCCAACACTGCAGACGTCTTCACCAAGGCCTTGGCGCTTGGTGATCACCACAGGTTCTGTGTGCAGTTGGGGCTTGTTGAGGTAGGCCCCCGGTTGCTGTAGTCTTGTTGCTTGCTCTGCTTGTTGTGTTTTCCTATTTATATCCTAGTGAACTCTTGAACTGGCCTTGTGGCCGCTTGCTTGTGCTCGGAATTTGTGTGGTGTCCTTGAGATCCACCCTGAGCTTGTCTTGCCTTGACTGGTCTTGTGACCGTTTGTTTCACCTTGCTTGCCCTGGTGTCCCTCACTTAGCCTATGGGGGTGTGTCAAATGTTAATGTTATGATAGGCTACAATGAGGCACTCCCTAGAGGGTGCAACATTTGTAGGACTCCTATTTGTATGCTTGCAAACCCTAATCCCAATCATTCCGTTGCATGTAGATTCTGAGAACCCTACTTTGGTTGAGAGAACTCTCACGACTCTGGGACGACGCCTAGCAACAATCTCTCCTGATTGGTTCTGTGCTCAATCGCAAAACTGAACCGCTCGTCGCTCTGGTGAGAGCACTGTTCACCTCTCACATATCTTGAACACCTAATACTACTCATAATCCTCCTACTTCCTCACGTAATTAGAAAGCGCCAACAAGTCCGGCAAAAGCTAGCTCCCATAACGACGTTTTTTACCACAACTCACGTCACTCACGCAGTCTCGCCAATAGCTAGGCAGCTCAAGCCTAGTGCCATAAATTGTTTTTTTTTTTTTTTTTTTTTTTTTTTTTTTTTTTTTTTTTGCATTTTCGCGTTACTCTCACGGAACGTGCGTTCTATCGTACCGACACACAAACGAGAGCTTCACCACGCTACCCCACGTTTCCCGCGCCTCGTCATCCACACTCGCCCTCGCCACCCGCGCCTGCCCTCGTCACCCGCGCTCCCCCTCACCACCCGTGCCTGCCCTCGTCACTCGCGCCTGCCCGGGTCACCGTGCTTCCCCTCGTCACGCGCTTGTCCCCTCGTCACGCGTTTGTTCCCTCGTCACGCGCTCGTCCCCTCGTCACGCGCTTGTCCCCTCATCACGCGCGCGTCCCCTCGTCACGCGCGTCTCCCCTTGTCATGCGCGTTTCCCCTCGTCACGCGCTCTCCTCCCCTCGTCACGCGCTCAACCATTCACTCGCTCGACTTCGTAGATCACCCGCTGAAACCGACGTCACGAGCTCTTACCCTCGTCACGCGCGCTTAGTCGTTGCCCCAGTTGCTCCATGCTGGCCCTCGCCTCCCTTTGTCGCCTCCACCACCCCAATCGAACAACGCTTTTCCATTATCGCCAACACCTACTGTGAGAGTACGACGGCTTTGCTAGGCATTACTTGCTTGCCTTTACTTTATTATGCTTAGATTTGTTTTATCTTGCATGTTTTTGCTTGGTTTCCTAGATTAGGTGCTTTACTATATTTGTTATAGTTATAGGCACCGAACTAGGATTGCGTGCACCGAATTCGTGCTATTCTGTTTCCACCGAACGACTTCTACCGAATTCGGGAAGGATCCGTTCTTGACGCTTCGCGACCCTCGGGAACCTTCACGTAACACCTGGTTACCTTGCCTTGTGTCGAGACTATATATAGCCTCGTGTTGTACCCAGGTGATCAATCAATTAATTCTAAACCAGTTCTTCGATCCTCACACCTACCGACGTCGCCATTGACACCATCGTGGTTAGCAGATCCCCCATACGCCCTCGCTGACTGTGGGCTTTAAACGGATGAGATGAAAAGCTAGAGTTTATAATATGGTATCATGTGCACCAGAGATGTCGTGACCATGCATCCACTATTGATTTTTTTGGGAGTCTAAAATGGGCATGAGCATCCCGGCTCGACCCGACCCGGGAATTAGTCCAGGTCAGGTCGGAGTATTTGAAAGCCTGACCCGGCTGAGTCGGGTCGGGTTTTCTCGGCCGGGTCAGGTCGACCAGTGACCTGGCTTCCGTTTCCGGGTCGGGTAGGGCCGGGTTTTGACACAAGATGGTACCCGACCCGGTTTCGGGTACCGCGCTGTAGGTCGGGTCGGGTATCTGGCCCAACCCGACTTTGACACTCGACAAACCCAACCAGATCGCGAAGTCTAGGGTAAGCTTTTCCCTCGACTTCGACTTCGATCTGGATTAGCTAGGAAGTCTCTCCTTCAGCCAGCAAGCAAGTATGTCACTCTCAGCTACTCTCTAAGGCGGACGCATGTTAAAGAACAATTCTACTCGTGTTTTTAGGATGTCTTAGCATTTGATTTTAAGGTTCGATTTTAGCGTTCGATTTTAGGGCAAATTTTACATTTCGCGCTCACTAGTGAGTTACCGCGGAACCCGCGTTTTGTGCTACCCCGGCACGCCTACCAGGCGCGCATCGCTAAGGCCACGACCCAGCAATAGGCCAGGGCTGCGACATTCGCTAAGGCCGCGACCCCGCTTTAGGTAAATTAACTTTAGCGCCAATGGATGGGGGGGAGGAGAGTTCACGCGCGATTCGGGGCGTCGCTTGGAGGCCTCCCGGCACCGGGATCTAGGGCCACATTCCAATTGGGGAGAATCTTCAATGGGGAGGAGGCGATTGGGTGGGACGAGGCTACCGCGGTGAGGCGGCGTGATGAGTTGCGGGAATGGGAGTCTGAAGGTCCTGCACCGATGGCGGAGGAGCAGGGACCACGGACACGGGAGAAAGACCCGGATTGGAGGCCGGCGCCGGGAGAGGCGGATGGCGAGAGTGGAGGATCGGGTGATGAGGGCCGGGGAGGGAGAGGAGAGGGCTGGGCTGGTGGCAGTGCCGCGCGCGGAAGCAGTGCAGCAGGAAAGAGGCCGCGTGCCAGTGGGTCTGGGGGGTCGGGAGCGGAGGGGGCCGGGCCAGAATCGAATGCTCAGCCGCAAGGGGCAACCGCGGGTGGGGGTGATGGGATGAGTGGAGGAGGGGCAGGTACCTCCGCCGCTCCGGTTGGTGGTGCACCTGTGGGGGGGTCAGGGATGTCGGGAGCTGCTGCTGTGACCGCCAGCCAGAGCGCCGAGAGGATGGGCAGGACCCCTACCGATGAGGAGTTGGACCCATGGACGGAGGAGGTCCTTAGTACTGCGGAGGCCGGCCTGGTGCGTGGCATGTTTGGTGATAAGGTGAAGGATGCCAGGAATTGCAAGGTTTGCGGGGAGGCGATTAGCTGGAAAGGGAGTGGCACGAGTGCGGGGAAGAGACGCCTCAAGAGGTGGCACTATCCTAGTCTATAGATCTGGTGTCGTCGCTTTAAGGATCCGAACAAGCCGGACAACCTTACCTTTCCTGATGGGGGATGGGGGCCGGATGTCCCCAACCCCACAGCGTGACCTTGGGAGCATGCAACCTTGTGGTTTAGGATTGTACCAACAGCCGAGGGGACAACCGCTAGTGGGGTGACTGGTGGCGCCGCTGCCGGTGGGAGTAGGCAGATGAACATGGGTGCATTCGTCGTGCCGCGTGTTGGTGCACAGCAGCTGCGCGACGGTTTGGTGCAGCTCTTTGCGGGAGCCGACCTTCCGTTTCGACTTATCGAGAGGTCCGAGGTGAGTGACAACATACTCCTCTCAATTAGCATTCACGACTTGCATACGGCGTGGTTAGTTGAGTGATCGCATTGCATTTCTTAACACTTTGTGATTCCTCGCGACATTGCGTCTTAACCACCGTCATACATTCTTCAATCACTCCATACATGCACGTGCATTTGCGTCTACAGTTCAGGGCATTTGTGCAGATGCTGAACCCGGGAGCGGCGCTACTGCTCGGCTCTCGGCATCGCTTAGGCACGCAACATGCAGGGCTAGGGCGAGGCTGCTAGGGAGGACGTGCGGCAGATGTTGGTGGGTGATGGTATGGCGGGGAGGATGTCGCTCACATTTGACATCTGGACCAGTGAGAATGGGCTGGCTTTCATGGGGGTGACCGCTCACTGGATCACCTGCGACTTCCAGCTCCGCCAGGTTGTTCTCGACTTCAGGCAGCTGAAGGGCTCTCATACGGGGGACCTGATAGCTACTGAGCTGGAGGAGGCACAACACTAGTATGAGTCATTGCTTGTCTACACGGTGCTGCTTCGCGATCTCTCACATATCCAACAACTCATCCTCAGGTCTTTCAAGAACAAGTGGGCTCCAATGAAACTATCCTATAATTATCGTTGCAAAACCTCAAGGAAAAGGGGGTGGGTGGGTGTGGGGGGGGAGGGAAATGTGGTGGAAACTTTCCTGGCAATATCTTCATCACTCAGGAAACATTTGCATCCCTTTGCACTACTTTATTTAACAAATATGATATACAACACGAATATTGTTTTTTTGTTTTTGTTTTTTTCTTCCTTTTTTTTCGAGGTTAAAGACCGTATTCTACGTGAAGGGACCATTCACAAAAAGGGTGAAAAGAAAAGGGGATATAATTTGCAAGTGTTGTATAAAGATGGGTTACACTATTGACATATGCTACAAATGAAAAAATGTGTTTGCTCCAATGTCTCTTCACAAGCACGAGTACCATCCTAAGTCGGTTCTAACAATCTCGCCCATTATAACGAGAATGCTTGCATTCATGAAGGAGTCCATCATGCTAAGCAAATAATGGTCCTACGCAATGAGTGACTCCAGGATTGACTCTGAGCAGCCATAACACTAGTATAGATCTCTGCCTCACAGCTGGAGTTTGCCACCAATGACGAGCGAGTGGACTTCCACGCGACCTCTCCGGCGCCAAGACTGAATCATTGACCCGGAGAGGATATGAGAGTCTCGATGTCGTCTGCCCACGACATGTCAGTGTATCCCGTGAGTGCAACTGGTTGCCTGATCTACTATCCATATAGCGCAGTACCCTCTTAGAAGCCGACAAGTCCTCAGGTCGGTTTCTCCCTTTTGCAACAAAGCGAGCAATGATGCTGAGAGGATATGCGAGATTTGGAAAGTGCGGGTCATCAGGTACATGAGGAACCCTACCAGCTCAGCACGCTAACCATTCGGCTCAAAAGGCTCGTCAGGGAGAGTGGCCGTGAGCGTGCGGCAAACAGGCAGAAGAGTGGGTGTGCAGAGGAGAGCTGAGAGCTGAAGCGCTGGAGGATCTGCTGCAGTGTGACTGAGTGAGAGTGATGGTGCGCGCTGCTCTGTCCTTAGTGACTAGCAAGACAAGATAGCGGCGCAGCTCACCTAGGTCAGTGCAATCGTGTCTCCTCAGCAGCTCGGCCTTCACCAAGGCTGGTGCGACTCTGTTTGGGGTAGTGAAGACAAGGCCGTCAAGGGAGTAGAGCCAGAGCGAACGGAGAGAGACGAGTCAGCAGAGGACAGAAAGAAGTGGAGGTCAGCCAGAGTAGTGCGCAGAGTGTCGTGCTACTCACGAGGAGCGTGACGCAGACTTGCCATTGAAGGCTCCATTGGGTACCAGGAGGGAAGGACCCAGTAAAACAGGCGGGTGGCAGAGGAAGATCTGCTCGTGCAGGTTGCCCTGGAGAAAGGCGGCAGAGAAGTCGAGCACGTGAAGCTCGTAGTCGCGCTGCGCCGCGATGTGGAGCAGTACCCGAAGAGTGGTAGTCTTAGGGGTGGGGGAGAACGTATGAAAGAAGTCTACCACCTCTCGATGACTAAAGCCTCTAGCCACGTAGCGTGCCTTGAAGGCAGTTGACTCTCCAGGTGACCATTTCACCTTCAAGATCCACATGCCATCGATTACGCTCGCCCCAGGAGGAGGAATTGCGTCAACGTAGGTGCGTGTGGACCACCAAGATGCCATCTCTGCGTCCATGGCTGCTATCCACTGAGAGGCCCAGGGCCTCAAGACTACCTCGCCGTACGTGCGAGGGGTCGGGGGGTCAAGAACGTCTGTGTCACCCTCATGGGCTAGTAGCATAGCGGAGAGATGAGGAGCAGCGGCCGCAAGGAAAGACAGCTCGTACTGACTGTCCTCTAGGGCGTTACTGCCAAGGGCAAGAGCACCCCGACGGGCGGAGGACGGGCAGGAGCAGAGACCGCCTGAGTGGCGTAGTCAAGGCGGCAGTGGAGGCAAAGTCAGCGGCAGCAGCGACAAGAGCAGAGACGGACGGAGGAGGAACACTGAGTCCAATAACGAGGGAGGAAAGGACACTGGAGACAGTAGGGTGAGCGCCACGAAGAAAGTCCGAGAATAATGGAGAGGAGAGAGTAAGGGATGACGGGAGAACAGAGGGTGGCGGAACACGAATGGGACAAGAAAGGAGGAGGAAACGTGGGACCGTAGACTTGGAGAGACGGTGAGGGGGGAACACGTGGTCGGCCAATCGAGGGGTAAGAAATACCAAGAAGGCGAAGTGGAGACACAGGCGGCGGCGGACGTCCCGGCGGAGAGTCACTCTACAACAGGAGTGGAATACGGAGGAGGGCACGGGGTTGTGCAGGTGATCGTAGCGTTCTACTAGTGTTCTCACCATTTGTTGTGTTCACAGAGAAAATTGGCAAGAGCTTCATTAAGAAGTTGAGAAGAACAATAGATTGCAATGAGGCATCCAAGTCGATATAGCAAGAAACATACTGCAACACCTAGAAAGCATTCTGCAAGGCAAACTGCCAGCGCAGCAGCAGAGCGACTTGCCAACGCTGCTGCAGGGCGGCCTGCCAGCGCTGCATACGCAGGTGAATACTTGCGCACATGTGCGCACCTACCAAGTAGGTGCATGTCGATGGTTGCACCAGGCACATTGCGCAGTTGCCAGGTAGGACACGTGTCGACGGTTTTGCCAGATGTCCACCGTCGAGCACGTGATGCCGTTCTGCACGTCGCGCGAATTCGACCGACCAGTTCGCCAAGACGAGGCTCTCCGAATAGCGCCCCTCGATCAGAGGACGAGCTCGTCGAAAAGCACCCCGCCGATCAGAGTACGTAAACGGGCTGGCCGATCAGAGGACGAGCTCGTCGAACACCACCCGTCGAACAGAAGACGGGCTGGTCGACGATCCCTGTCGTCTAAACCCGAGAGCTAATTTGACGACCACTCTGTCAAATTCACCATGTCGCCGCAGAAAACGCCTTCGCCCAAGCGAGGGTGGGGCCTCTCACTTCAACAGTCCGGCGCCCGCGGTACCCCCAGTACTAGTACCTCCTGCGGCAACACCCCCAGAAACAGCACTCCCAAAGTCAGCACCCCCAAAACCAGCACCCCCAGAGCCGGCGCCCATAGCGGCAGCACCCCCAGGACCAGCACACCTAGCGACAGCACCCCCAGAGTCCACAGCGACCGACTGCGGCAGCGACGACGTTAGCGGCGGCAACGAAGGCTGCTGCGGCAACTGCGAGGACGACGAAGGTGACGGCAGAGACCGCGGACGGCTGCGGCGGGGATAGGGGACGAGGGGGAGGCGGTGAAGGTGCCGACATGGGAGGTGCAACCCCACTTACCAGGCCTCCAAAGTCAGCATACTCCCCAACAGACCCAACCGAGGGAAGGGGGGTGACGTGCGACACACCAGACGTGGCAGGACGCGGCGGCAGGGGATCGAGCGGAGGAGTGGGAGTGAGAAAGAGGGGAGGAGGGGGGGGCAAGGTACCTCGGTGAGGGAAGCGAGTGCAGAAGAAGACAAACTAGTCAAAGGTGACATTACGAGAGGAAGAAGCGGTGAGACGAAGGGTGGTTAAACAGCCAGTCAGGGGCGTCGAGGGGTAAACCAAGGAAGATACACGGGAGAGTGCGAGCTGGGAGCTTGTCCGCGCGAGGTAGTTCCAGACACAAAACGCATACGCTGCACGAAGGGACACAGTCCAGAGGAGGGTCGGCGAAACCTGCGGCCGTGAGAGACGGGGCCACAGGTTAAGCTGGTGCGCGATGTAGCGGACTAAGTGCTGCTGCCTGTCCCGACTGTAGACCAGGATGTCGTCGAGGTAAACTATCACGCATTTATCTAAAAGTGGCATAACCGCTTCGTTCATGGTCATCTGGAATGTCGCCGGTGCGTTGGTCAGTCCGAACGGCATCACCGTGTACTCGAACGATCCGTACCTAGTTCTAAAAGCTAATTTGGCACAGTCCGATGGTTCGACTCTAATCTGGTGTTAACCTCCCCGTAGGTCGATTTTCGAAAACACCCGTGCTGTTCGCAGTTGATCTATCAGTTCGTCGACGCGGGGGATGGGGTATCGCGACTTGACTGTTACAATGTTCAGTGCGCGGTATTCGATACACATACGAAATCCTCCGTCCTTTTTCGGTGTGAACAGTATCGGTGCGACGAACAGAGATGAACTCGGTCGGATTATTTTTTTTCTCTAACAGGTAGTCTAGCTGCTTCCTCAGTTCGTCGAGCTCGGTCTGTGTCAGTCCGAACTGTCTCTGTACGGTTGGTTGTGCCCCCGGTTCTAATTCTATGCGGTGGTCGTGTGCTCGCTGAGGTGGCAGTCCCTCCGGTAAGTCGTATGGAAAAATCCCCTGGTACCGTTTCAGTAGTTCCTGTAGTTCGGGCGGTACGGCTGCTAGCAATTTCTGAAAATCACTCGGCTCCTCTGCTTCTCCTACTACCATGATGTCTATTGCGTACACGTCAGCTCCAGTGGCGACAGCCCATTTCATCGTGATGGCGTTGACGTGGACCGTTGAAGACTGAGGCGACTACCAGCGAGGTAGTGCGACCCAGTTACCATCGCTTCGCACAGTGCAGCTACCTGTCGTCCAGTCAATTCGTGGGTTGTAGCGTCGCAGCCAATCGCGTCCCAGTAAATGTCAAACTTATATGCTGTATCTTGTGTAGGCTATAGTGGGGTAGCCCATATGGGGTACAACCCAATTAGGGTTAGTACTTGTACCCATCCTACTGTTAGTCAATTCATTCTCGTTTATTCTGTTGACATGGTTTCAGAGCAGGTCCTAGCCTAGGACCGATGTTTTAGGGCCCACCGAACCGCGCTACCCCACGAGTCGCGCCGCCCTGTTAGCGCCGCGCCGCCCTGCCCTGCCCTGCGTTGCGCTGCCGCACACGCCCTGCCCTGCCTTGCCCGCACGCCACTCGCCGCCGCGCCGCGCCGCCCTGCTAGCGCGCTGCTTGCTGCTGCGTGCCCTGCC